TCCACGTGGGCCAAGCGGGCGTGCAGATCGGCAACGCCTGCTGGGAGCTGTACTGCCTGGAGCACGGCATCCAGCCCGATGGGCAGATGCCCAGCGACAAGACCATCGGCGGGGGGGACGACTCCTTCAACACCTTCTTCAGCGAGACGGGGGCCGGCAAGCACGTGCCGCGGGCCGTCTTCGTGGACCTGGAACCCACGGTGATCGGTGAGCGGGGGGCCGGTGGGGGGGGCCGCGGGGTGGCCGGTGTTAGCGGGTGCCGGACGCTAACGGGGCGGGCGGGCTCTCCCCGCAGACGAGGTGCGCACCGGGACGTACCGGCAGCTTTTCCACCCCGAGCAGCTGATCACGGGCAAGGAGGATGCGGCCAACAACTACGCCCGTGGGCACTACACCATCGGGAAGGAGATCATCGACCTGGTCCTCGACCGCATCCGCAAGCTGGTGGGTACCATCCCTGGGTGATGCTGGTGCCACCATGGCTGGTGCAGAAAGGGGAACCCTCCAGTGGGACCTGGGCAGGAATGAGGAGCCAGGCTGTGCCTCCAGATCCTGGGTGCATTTTATGGTTCTTGGCACTCTGCACCAAGTTGGGGCTCCCCATGGGGTCTGGATCCTGTGAGTGGAGATCAGGATCAGCCCCTTCCCCTCTCCATGGGCTGAGTCCCCTTCCTCAGGACCCTGCAAACCCAGCGCAGCTGCAAGCCCAGGACCTGCACCCCAAGGATGGAGTGTGCATGGGGGCGACATGGGGTTTGGGAGAGGCTGGCTCAATTCTGCCCTTGGGAAAAACCTTATTTTATCCCTTTTTTTTTTTTAGGGTCATGTGAGGTTTCTCCTTGATCTGGACTCTGATCCTTATTGACCAGCTACTTACGAGCAGCTGTGCTGAGTGTTTAACTCATGCTGGGGCAGCTCATGCCCTGGGAGGGGAGTGCTAGTGCCTGGCAAACCTCGATGGCTGCCAGCCTCCTGCCCAGGCAGTGCCCCCAGGGTGGTGGCTCTGGTTGCCCTAACATGCTCCTGTAAAGCACCGTGGGTTTCATCTTCCACAAAGCAGACTGCCTGGGTGGTGATGGGTGCAGGCGCTGGAAGGGCCGGCTTTTGTAGCAGGAAGGAGCCGAGTGTCTCCCAATCCCTGCAGGAAGGGCCCCCTTTCCCAAAGATCGGTTGTGCCGACACACAGGGGGCTCGGGCTGGAAATGGAGCTGCAGCACTTGGGCACCTGCCACTGCCAGTGTCCCTGAGACAAGAGTCCCCAAAGGCCTGAGATCCTGGGGTGAATATTTGTCTTCCTGGGCAACTCAGTAGCAGCTTAAATGCAGAATTGCTGATAGATCCATCTTGTTTTCTCTTCCTTTCTTCCAGGCTGACCAGTGCACAGGGCTGCAGGGCTTCCTGGTCTTCCACAGCTTCGGGGGCGGCACCGGCTCCGGCTTCACCTCCCTGCTCATGGAACGCCTCTCTGTCGACTATGGCAAGAAGTCCAAGCTGGAGTTCTCCATCTACCCGGCCCCGCAGGTCTCCACGGCCGTGGTGGAGCCCTACAACTCCATCCTCACCACCCACACCACCCTGGAGCACTCCGACTGTGCCTTCATGGTGGACAACGAGGCCATCTACGACATCTGCCGCCGCAACCTGGACATCGAGAGGCCCACCTACACCAACCTCAATAGGTTGATAGGCCAAATTGTGTCCTCCATCACGGCCTCTCTCCGCTTCGATGGGGCCCTGAATGTCGACCTGACGGAGTTCCAGACCAACCTGGTGCCGTTCCCCCGCATCCACTTCCCGCTGGCCACCTATGCCCCCGTCATCTCGGCCGAGAAGGCTTACCATGAGCAGCTGACGGTGGCGGAGATCACCAACGCCTGCTTCGAGCCGGCCAACCAGATGGTAAAGTGCGACCCGCGGCATGGCAAGTACATGGCGTGCTGCCTGCTGTACCGCGGGGACGTGGTGCCCAAGGATGTCAACGCCGCCATCGCCACCATCAAGACCAAGCGTAGCATCCAGTTCGTGGACTGGTGCCCCACCGGTTTCAAGGTGGGCATCAATTACCAGCCTCCCACGGTGGTGCCCGGGGGGGACCTGGCCAAGGTGCAGCGCGCGGTGTGCATGCTGAGCAACACCACGGCCATCGCCGAGGCCTGGGCCCGCCTGGACCACAAGTTTGACCTGATGTATGCCAAGCGGGCGTTCGTGCACTGGTACGTGGGGGAGGGCATGGAGGAGGGGGAGTTCTCGGAGGCCCGGGAGGACATGGCTGCCCTGGAGAAGGATTACGAGGAGGTGGGGGTGGATTCGGTGGAAGGGGAGGGAGAGGAGGAAGGGGAGGAATACTAAACGCTGGGTTCCTTCTGTTGCTGTAGCATGTCCACAAAATGTCCGCTTCAAACACTTCAGCTTTCTTGTGCACTGGGTCGGGTTCAGCCCCGTGGCCCCGGCTGGAGGGACGTGCTGCTCTGGCTGGGCTCATGCTCTCTCTGATGTGATCATGTTGGTTTTCCATGTGTCTGTATCATGTCTGTGAATAAAAGGCTTTAAGAGAAACTGCCGCCTTGTCGGATACAAACCCTCTGTGTCAGCGCCCTGCAGCTCGCCGGGGGCCAGCTGGCCCCATCCCATGGGAACAGAGTGTCCCTATTGTCTGTGCCCAGTGAGATGGTGGGGATGGCAGCGCTCCTGCCTGGAGCTGGCTCTGGCCAGCCCTTCCTCTCTTCCCTGGGGGGGGGGGGAAGGCACCCCCACCCCTCCCTGGGTGCTACAGGGTGGGGGGGCCTGCCAGGGGACCCTGGGTGCTGCTGCCTGGTTTTGGTGAGCTACAGCACCCCAGCACCCCACCCCCAGAGCTGAGGCAGCCTGGGCCTGCCCCCCTCCTCGGCCCTAGCGGGGATTAACCCCCCCGGGGGATTAGTCCGGGGATTAGTCCTGTCCCTGCGCCTAATCCCGGCTCCCGCCCCCCACCCGGGGGGGGCTACGCAGGAGCTGCAGTCCCGTCCCCCCCCACCGTGGGAGCGGCGGGCGGGAGTACGGCCGTTCCTTCAGCCTATCGGAAGGCCCTGCGTCGCTCTCGACCAATGAGCAACGCCTCATTCACTTCCCGGGACCAATGGGAGGAGAGAAGGAGGGGCCTGGCGGGGGCCCTTTCAGGCCGTGGCGGGCGCGGATACATTGTAGCGGGTAGCGGACGCGAGGGGCGGGGCCGAGCGGGGAGGGGCGGGGCCACCTAGCCCGGGCTGGGCTCGGCGCGGTTCGGTGCTTTTCCCGGTAACACCGGTCCGGCAATACCGGCCCGCCGCTCGGACCCGATCCGGCCATGCTGGCCGTAACATGGCCCCTGTGGAACAGGACGCATTGGCCGTACGGGAGCAGCTCTTCCATGATAGGGTCCGCGAGTGCATAGTGAGTACCGGAGGCCCGCGGCCGCGGTGAGGGGCGTCGGACGGGGCTGGGGGGGGGGGGAAGGGTCCGGTGTGACCGTGGGGGTGCTGTGGGTTGGGGCTGGAAGCCCACAGCTCCCCCCCGCCGGGAGGACCGGGATCTCCAGTGGCGGCTCTGGGGCCCGGCTGCTGTTGTGCCCCACACCCGGCCCTTATCGGTGCCAGAGCCCCGGTGGATTGCCGTGCACCCCGGAGATAGCGGGGTCCCGGGGCTGGGCCGAGCCCCTGGCGCGACCCCTTTGCCAGGTCCGGCCCCACTGCTGCCAAGCCCCTGTGCCATCCCGGCCACCCCCCGCGGGACTTGGGGTCCCGCCGTACTGGAGCCCCCAGGCCTGGGTCCCACCTGCCCCGACTGGGAGCCTCTGGGTGAGCGGGAGGGTCGGGGGTGCTGGGGTGCAGCGATGTCAGAGCCGGATCAGACCCATGCCAGGCTCCTGGTTCTGTCCCTGCGCCCCCCAGGCCAGCAGCTCTCCCCAGGGTGCTTGGTGTCAGGGCGAAGGGACCCTGCAGACCCCCCCTCACCCCTCTGAACCGTGAGCTGGGTCTGCTCCCCTGGTCCCACTCTGCCGGCCACGGCACCCACTGCTGCAGGCTCAGGGATGGGAACGACCCAGGCGTTAGGGTCCCGGCATCTCCCAAGTGTCATCCGGGATGCTGCATGCGGGGCGGCCAGGTGGGCTGTGACCAGCAGTGCCGGGACCACCTTGCCAGAGCCCAATTCGGTGTCTGCGGGGAGGAACTGGTGGCCAGAGCCCAGCATCTATGTCCTGGAGCTCCCCAGACATCCCTCCAAGCTGTCCTGGGGAGCCACGTCTCACCCAGGAGCTCCTGGTTCAGCGCAGCCAGCGTGGAGCTCGCTCGGCCCCGTTTTGCTGAGTGCAGGAGGTGTTGGGGGTCCCCCAGCCAGGCAGAGCTCTGGGTTGCGGGGTACAGCCTGGGGCAGGAGGGGACCCACAGCCTGAGACCCTTCCCTGGGCAGGAGCAGGAACCGGAGGACCCGCTGGGCACTGCCCCTCCGGGGGTCCGGAGCTGGGTTGGCTCCCGGGGCTCCCTGCCACCCCACTTAGATCCTGGGGACCCCCGGGCAGCTGAGCCCCCCGGGCCAAGCAGGAGGGAGGTGCCACAGCTGTTCCATTCCTCCTGTGCCAAGGTGGCAGGTTCGGGTGACCTTTCCCCATCCTGCCGCGTACCCAGCGGGATGAAAGGTCACCGTGTTCCTCGAACGTCGCCTGCTCCGGCTGGACCTCGGTGTGCCGGCGGGGGCGGGAGGGACACCACGGCCGGCCTTGGCGCCTGTCTCAAGGCTGTTCCTGCAGCTCTGCCGGGTGCCGGTGCCAGCAGGGCGAGAGCTGCGGGTCAAGGAGTGCAGGGGTGTCCCACGGAGTCAAACCTCCAGCTCTGCCAGCACAGGCCGACCCAGAGCTGCCGGGTGGGCTCTCCCCGTGGTCTCAGACCCCCTGGGTTCCTCTGGCCCGGGTGCTGTGGCAGCTTGTGGGCACCCGTGGGTGAGCCCTGGGTGCAGCCCCCATGCACAGGCAGGGCCAAGTATGTGTGTGGGGTGTAGCCAGGGCCAGGAGTGGAAAAATAAATAGGGTGAGGCTGATGGGCCCCGGGGCCAGAGGCACCACCGAGGGTGGGAGTGGCTGCCCTCCAGGCCTGCCTGCGCTGCCCGTGCACTTCTGCCTGCAGATCTGCGCCCTGCTCTTCGTCAGCCTCTACATCCTCTGCCACTTCATCATAACCCACTTCAAGAAGCACACAGACTTCACGGCAGGTAGGAGGGCAGGAGCTGCTGGAGCCGGGCAGCCGTTGGCAGCCACATTCAGCCTCTCCGGAGCTTGTTCCTCCATCGCTTTCGGCCTCCCCTGGGAGCCCCGGTCCCACCGCAACCTGGGTTGCTGTGGCATCGGTCGCTGCGGGGTACCTCCTCAGCTGCCACTGGAAGGGAGCAGAGCCCAAACTCCCTGGGAATGTTGGGGGCAGGGGCAGGTTTGGGAGTGGACAGGGGAGCAGGCAGGAAGCAATGCTCCGGGCAGCCCTGACTCTCCCAGTACCATTAGTTTGAGTTTTTTCCCCCCGCAGTGCATGATGACGAGGATGCTGCTGTCAACAGGATTGCGTAAGTTCCTGCCCATCCTGCTCCCTGCCTGCGGGATGCTCGGCTGCTTCCTCTCCCTGCCCGGCCGGGACACCGTGTCCCCCCAGCCCATTGGGGTCGGTGACCCTGGGGGCTGTGACCAGGTTGTGACACCCGTGGGGGCCCAGACCCAGTGCCGGAGCTGATTCTCAGCTCTCCCGCAGGCTGGGACTGTGCACCTTCACCCTGGCTGTGGCGCTGGGCGCCGTCCTCCTGCTGCCCTTCTCCATCATCAGCAACGAGGTGCTGCTCTCCTTCCCCCAGAACTACTACATCCAGTGGCTGAATGGGTCTCTCGTCCATGGTGGGTACAGGGGGTGGCCCCGAGGTGCCTTGAGGGCTGCGGGTCAGGGTTGCCCCCCGGGAGCTCACCCCACACCGTCTCCCCCTCCAGGCCTCTGGAACTTGGTCTTCCTCTTCTCCAATCTGTCCCTTGTCTTCCTCATGCCCTTTGCCTACTTCTTCACTGAGTCGGAGGGCTTTGCAGGATCCAAGAAGGTAGGTGGCCCTGTGGGTGTCCCCTCCCCGGTCCCCCCCATCGCTGGCTCCTCTCTAACTCTGCTCCCGCAGGGCATCATGGCCAGGGTGTATGAGACGTCGGTGGTGCTGCTGCTGCTGACGCTGCTGGTGCTGGGCATGGTCTGGGTGGCCTCCGCCATCGTCAGCAACAACGCGGCCAGCCGCCAGTCGCTCTATGGTGGGTGCTGTTGGGTTGCACTGGAGCTCTCCTGGCTCCAGCCGGGCAGGATCAGACCTTGGTGCTGAAGGGGAGGAGGGATGCCCAGTGCCACTGGTCTGACCCTGCTGTCTCCACAGACCTCTGGGAATACTACCTGCCCTACCTCTACTCCTGCATCTCGCTCTTTGGCATGCTGCTTCTGCTGTGTGAGTTGTGGGACATTTCCCAGAGGTGCCCCAGTCCTGGTGGCCCATCCTGTGCCGGGTGCGGGTCCCCCGGGGTGCCCAACTGGGAGCAGGGATTGCTCCCTGAAAATGGTGCTGGGGTCTGGAGGGGTTGCAGTGCAGGGCTGAGAACCCATCCCCTGACCAGGACCCTTGTGGGGGTGTGGGGAGGGCTAGAATACCGGGGCACCCCCTGCTCAGCCTTTCCTCCCACCGCAGTGTGCACCCCCTTCGGCCTCTCCACCATGTTCACCGTCACAGGGAAGCTGCTGGTGAAACCTCGGGTAAGGTGTCCCCCCCCTGGGTCCCACTGCCCCAGCCTGGGGGCTTGCAGTCCCCGGGGCTGCCTGGTCTGCCATCCCGGGCACGGGGTGCCGTTCACGGCTGCTCACGGGCTCCTCGCCCATCGCCAGCTCCTAGAAGACCTGGATGAGCAGTTGAGCTGCACGAGGCTCGAGGAAGCCGCCGTGTCCCGCAGGATCTCCTCCGGTGGGTGCCCAGCACGGCTGCTAGCCAGGAGTGGGGGGGGTTCAGGGCAGACTGGGGTCCCCTCTGCCCCACCACATGGGAGCCCTCAACCCCCATGAGCCCCTCGGTGTCTTTTCCCTTGGCAGGCAAAGCTTCCTGCTGGCTGAACTTGAACGTGGAGCTGCTGCGGGAGCAGTTCTTCGCCATCCGGAGCAAGAGGCGGAAGCTGGGTAAGGAGCCTGCGGGGGGGAGGGCAAGCCCAGGACGCCTGGGTTCTCTCCAGCTTGGCACTGGGAACACTGGTTCCCTGGGAGCCTGTGCCCCATGGAGGGAGGGCGGGTGTGAAGTGGGGTGGGGGCTGTAACACCCTGTCCCGGCGCCTCAGGGCCCCTCTCCAACTCCTGCCCTGGGGTGGGGGCTTGTGCTCCCCTCTCACCCGGGCACGTCGTCCCCCCACCCTGCAGAGCTGCGGCACCGAGCGTCGCCCTGGCAGAGGAACCTGGGCTACCCCCTGGCCATGCTGGGCCTCCTGGCGCTGACGGTGAGTGTCCCTCCTGAGGGGGCTGGGGCTCGTCCTGTCCCCCTCCCCAACCACCCTCACTCCCTCCCTGCTCCTCCCAGGGCATCTCCGTGCTCATCGTCTGCTTCCACGTCCTGGAGCTGCTGCTGGACGATGCCGCGATGCCACGGGGCATCCAGGTACCTGGGTGGGGGAACAGGGGACAGCAAGGAGCCGTGTCCCATGCTGGCCTGGGGACCGTTCCCCCACAACGTGCCCCCTCCTCTCCCGGCAGGACGCGTCCCTGGGCCAGGTCTCCTTCTCCATCTTCGGTTCCTTCGGAGCTGCCCTGCAGGTCGTCCTCATCTTGTATCCTTCAGGCGGGCACTCGTGTCCCCAGTGCTGTCCGCAGGGCCATCCCACCCCGTTCTCCTCCTTAACACCCCTCGCAGCTACCTGATGGTCTCCTCTGTTGTGGGCTTCTACAGCTCCCCCCTCTTCACCCGGCTGGTCCCCGAGCGGCAGGACACCCCCCTCACCAAGGTGAGAGTGCTGGGCTGGGACTGGGGGTGCAGGACCCCTGATCCCCACAGTGCATGGCTGTGTGTGTCCCTGTGCGCTGTGCGGTGTCCCCATGCAAGGGCAACAGGTGTCGTGTGTCCCCCCCCCCACCTCCCCCTGCCTCCGGTGCAGCCCTGGGTGCAGGCAGGGTCCCGGTGGGTGTCTGGCACTGGGGAGCCCCTTCCCCAGCTTGGGGGGGGGGGGCCCAGGCCCTGTTTGCGCTCCACTACCCCCCCCCCTTGACAAACGTTCCTTCCTCCCCCCCCAGATCATCGGGAACTGCGTCTCCTTGCTGGTGCTCAGTTCAGCCCTGCCCGTCTTCTCCAGGACACTGGGTGAGCCCCTGGGGGAGGCCAGGGTGACCCCAGAACTGGGGTGTCCCCAGGACTGAGGTGCCCTGACCACCAACCCCCCCCCCCCAGGGACCCCCCGTTTCGACCTCCTGGGGGACTTTGGCCGTTTCAACTGGCTGGGGAACTTCTACATCGTCTTCCTCTACAACATGGGGTTCGCGGGGCTCACCACCCTGTGCCTGGTGAAGAGGGTCTCCTGGGCCGTCCAGGCCGAGCTCATCTGCGCCTTTGGTGAGGACAGGGACACGGGGACGGGCGCTGGGGTGTCCCATATCCCGCCCCCCCCCAGCTCTCATGCTCTCCCTCTGTCCAGGTCTGCACAAGCTGCCGCTGCCCGTGACGCGCTCCCAGCCCCTCGGCAAACCCTGCTAGGGCTGGGGGACAGGGATGTGTGTGTCCCCCACACTGTGGTGCCCCCCCAGGATGGCTGCCAGCCACAGAGCCAGCCCTGATGGTGGCTGGTGCTTCAGGGATGTCAGAGCCCCCCAGGGAGAGCCAAGACCTGGGGGGGGGCGGTCTGCCCCCCCTGCCTCTATCTCAGCCTGTTGTGCTCCTGAGCCTTGTCCTTGAGCCACGTCCCCGTTACAGCCCCCCCAGGGGCACGGGGTCCCCGGGGGGCTGCGCTGGCTGCAGCCCCCCTGCCCTGTTTACATACCTCATGCAAGAGCAGCTGGGCCCCCCCTACCCTGCCCCAGTGCTGCCCCAGCTGCTCCCTGGGGTGCAGTTGGGTTTTAAATGTCCCCCCACCACCCCAGGGACTGTCATGACACTACAGCGGGGGCCCCGTGCCCCCCTGCCCAGTCACTCCACACCTCGTCCCCATGTCATCCTGGGGCTGCTGGGGGGCACTGGTTGTCCCCTGCCCCAAGGCCTTTGGGATCCCCAAGGGAGGAGCAGGGCTGGAAGGTCCTGGGGCACTGGGGACAAGCTGCCCCCCCCCAACCCCCCTGGCAGGTTGGTGTGATGAGTCTGTCGGGTCTCTGTTACCATGGAACTTTTTTGGAGCAATAAACAGTCTCTTTTTTTATATAAAAATATCTGAACTGGGGAAGTTTTATTTCCCCTGAGGGCAGGACTGAGCAGGGGGGGTTCCCTGCCTATGGGGGTCTCAATCCTGCCTTCCCCTCCCTTCCCTTTCCCTGGGGGCCATAATTAACCCTCTTCCTGGCTGGGGCTAACGAGCTTCTTCCAGGAAGGGCCGAAGGTGAGAGCAGCTCCCTGTCCTGGGCTGAGGAACCCTGGGGGTGTCAGGGTGGCACCCGGCTGTTTTGGGGTGTGGG